GATTATTGACATTTAAGGTAATCATTGATATAATTGGATTAGTATGTACTATATTTGTTACTATTTTCTATTTGTTGCTCTTTTTCTTTGTTCCTATTTTTGTCTTTCATGTTTTCTGACTTTTGTGGTTTTAATTGAGCATTGATATGCTTACATTTCCTCTCCCTTTCTTATACTTCTCCTTTCTATTGTACTCCTTTTTTTTAACCTTTTTTAGTAGTTGCCCTAGAGTTTGCAATATACATTTACAATTAATCCAAGTCCACTTTCAAATAACACTATACCACATCACAGTAGTACACATTCCTTATAATAACAAAGTATTTCTAATTTTACCTCTTATTCTTTTTATCATTGCTATTATTCATTTTACTTATACATAAGCACATACATACATATATATACATAATCAAATACATTGTTGCTATTATTATTTTAAACAAATTGTTATCTGTTAAATCAATTAAGATTAAGAAAAATGGAAGTTTTTGTTTTACCTTTACTTATTCATTCTCTGATGTTCTGAGTTTCTGACCTATATCATTTTCCCTCTCTTTGGAGAACTTCTTTTAACATTTTTTGCAAGACAGGTCTATTAGTAACAAATTCCCTCAATTTTTGTTTGTTTGAAAAAGTCTTTATGTCTCCTTCACATTTGATGGATACTTTTGTAGGTTACAGAATTTTAGGTTGGTGGGTTTTTTTTTTCTCTCAATACTTTATAAGTATTTCACTACACTCTCTTCTTGTTTGCATGGTTTCTGGGACAAGTCAGATGGAATTCTGATCTTTGTTCCTCTTTAGGTAAGATGTGTTTTCCTCTGGCTTCTTTCAAGACATTTTTCTTTATCTTTGATTTTCTGAAGTTTGAATATGATATCTCTTGGTGTCATTTTGGGGAGGTTGTTTGTTTGGGGTTTTTTGGTATTTATCCTGCATAGTGTTCTCTGAACTTCCTGGCTTTAATTAAAGTCTAACATTAATTTTGGGAAATCCTCAGTTCTCTTTTCCTCCTTCTTCTGGTATTCCCATTACACATGCTACATCTTTTGTAGTCATCCCACAGTTCTTGGATTTTCTGTTGTTTTTTTTTTTCTTCACTCTTTTTTCTCTTTGCTTTTTAGTGTTGGAAGTTTGTATTGTCATATCCTCCAGCTCAGAGATTCTTTCCTCAGCCATGTCCAGCCTACTAATGAGCCCACCAAAGGCAGTCTGCAATTTATTACATTATTTTTGATCTCTAGCATTCCTTTTTGATTCTTTCTTAGAATTTCCATCTCTCTGCTTACACTACCCATCTGTTCTTCTATGTTGTCTACTTTTTCAATTAAAGCTCTTAGCATATGAATCATAGTTTATAAAATTCTTGGTTTGATAATGCCAACATCCTGGCCATATCTAACTCTCGTCCTGCTGTTTGCTCAGTCTCTTCAAGATGTGTCAGCCTTGAGGATGCCTTGTAATTTTTTGTTGAGAAACGAACGTGATGTACTAGATAAAAGGACCTGCTATAAATAGGCCTTTAGTTAATGTGTTGGTACGATATGGGAGAAGAGAAGTATGGATAGTCCTAGGATTCGGTCTCAGTCTTTTGGTGAGCCTGTGCCCCTAGACTGTGAACTCACAAGAATTTCTCAGGGTTTGTTTTCTCCCTCAGGTGGGATGAGATGGCTGGAGGGGGCTGGGTTGTGTATTTCTCTTCCCCATGTGGAAAAAAAGAGGGAACTGGAGTTTGTATTTCCCTTCCCCGAGGTAGATTAGGCTATGATACAACCTCAGAAGTTTAGGCTCTGGTAAAATGGACTCTCCTGAGGGCAGATCTTATTAGGAGGAACAGAATGTTCTGGCATATTTCAAAATGGTTCCTTTTCTCCTCTCCCTACTGGAACCCCAAGGGGATTTTTCTCCAACATTGTCTGTGAGGACCTGGTAGAGCTCTTAGAGGTAAATTTCACAAAAGTATACAGCCCCCCCACGTGACTGGGTCCCTCTGGAGTTTGTATCCATATTGTTCCTCCAGCAATTTGTCAATTGTTGTTTAGCTTTTCCTACCCTGGTAAAGGTTCCTGCAGAGGTTTCTGCTCTGGTATGTTGTGAGTCTCTGTATCTGCCTGCCTGTCTCTCCAATTTGGGGGGCAATGATTTGTCCTGAGACTTCAATTATCTGCTGGATCTAAAAAGAGTTGTTGATTTTTTAGTTTGTTCAGCTTCTTGCTTGTTGTTAGGACTGAATGAAGACTCCTAAGCTCCTTACGTGCCAGGGCAGAAACTGCAAGTCTTGCTTGTACCTGTTTTATGATTCTTTCACTTCCTGCCTTGCTGCCAGATGGACACTGTCAATTCTTGCGTGAGCAGTGTGCCCACCTCTAGCTGGTCTTCCTCACCCTTTTCCAGTGTGTGCTGTGGACAGGAAAACTGGATAACCAGGTTTGTGAGAGCTGTGTGTAAATTTAGAGTAAAAGGCTCTGAATAAGTGTCTTGGGGGCTTCCAACGAGTAACACGTATGAGCTCCTGAGCACCTTTTATGCACCAGGTATTCTGGCTGCTCCGAGCTCTCGGCCTCTGTCTGCTCTACACTGCTGGGCAGCTGGATCTAGAGGTGTGTGCCGCATCAGGAAAAGGAGCCATTTCAATTTCCAAAAGGGAGTGTAATTTTTTGCTATGCTCAAAAGCTCTTCTCTTTTGAGAAACTAGAAGGACTCGTTATGTTGTATCTCTTGAAGCAGGCTCCTACAAAGTAACTAGAGGCCAGATTAACAACCCCTGGTTCTCAAGAAAGCCTGATCAATTTATGAGGATTATATTGTGGCTAATGTACTAGCATGATAATTTATGGTTGCCATTTATCAAATACTTAAGATGTGTCAGGCATTGTTCTAAAAGCTTTACAAGAAGTACCTAATTTTTATAAGCACAGTAAGGTAGATATTATAATCACCATTTTAGAAACAAGGAAACTTTTCCAAGGTCATGCATCAATTAAGTGGGGGAATAGAATTTGAACCCAGGTCTGCAGACTCCAAATTCATGCTTTCAATCATTTTCATTTAATTCCACATCTCCTAATGCTTCATCAGCTGCAGCATTAACCAGGGTGTGGTGTTTTCCACCCTGGTAAGGCCCTGTCTCCATCCCCGCTACCCCTTCCTGGGTTATTTGTACACAGCTCTCCTTTGTGTGATGTGCCAACCCCAAGTGTGAGTGCAAAGCATAGGAGTCTGTAATTCCCTGGACCTAGAATCTCACTGAGATGAGTTTGTTTGATTAGAGTCAAGATTAACTTGACCCAACTGAGGAATCAGGTAAAACCCAGGAGACGAAGCCAAGAGGGGAGAGGCCAGCCCTCTGTCCTCCTTGCCAGATGGCAGGTGTGTGTGTGTATGTGCGCGTGTCTGTGTTTATGTAATCAATACCCACACACCGGCTGTGGCTTCTCACTTCGAGTTATACAAACACTGTAGGGGTTCACGAACTGTCTAGAGATCTAATTATCAGCTTCATAAGCCCAGCAGAGTGCCGAGTGCTAAAAGCAGCCGAGGGAGGGAAGGAGGAGGGGCGAGTGCTGAGCCGGGCTGGGTTGTTATTAAACGCCACGTTCAGCACCTGTGCCCTGGGCTGAGCCTGCCAGTCTCCAAGGGAAAACTACCAAGCCCAGAGGCCCTGCAGGGAGCTAGCTCTTAGGCAGTGGGCCTCTTCCAGATTCCAAGTCCCCACGCTGTTGATAAGAAGAACAGCAGAGTCTGCCCCCCATGTCAGAAGTCCCCAGCAGGAAGACCCACTAACTAGCCCTCTTAGCTTTTTTTGTAGACCAGAGGCCCTTGGCATCCCTCACAACTGTGACTTCTGAGTGTTACTGCTTTAGGAGCAGGGGCACTGCTGTTCTAGAGCCCACTTACCCTGGCGAAGGTCCGGAAGCCCTGGAGGATGGGTCTGTAGCCTGTGCAGCGGCACAGATTTCCTGCAGGCCAAGGAAAAAGCTGCCATGTTAGTGCAGGCCCCAGGGAAGGGGAGGGTCTGTGACGTTGCCCCCAGCTCATTTGGGTGCTCTGTGTACCACTTGCCCCTGCAAACTCTCCTCCTCCTCCTCACAGTCCTGACTGCCTCCAGAAGCCATCCTAGAAGGCCCAGACTGAGTCAGGTTCCCTGCTAAGTGTCCCATGGTGGCTGGTCATAGTTCTATCAGTGAGCTTATCAAACCACACTGTAAACTCTCTTCCCTTTCAGTGTGAGCTCCTTGAGAGCAGGGACCGTGTATTTGATCCCTGTGTCCCCTGTACCTTCTGTATAGTGCCTGACATGGGTTAGGACTCAAAGTAGCTGATTGATACATGATAGATTGACATGGGGAATAGATGGGAGCCTTCTCTATTTAATTCAGAAAAATAGGCACATGGTGCAGGCCCCTGGGCCCGTTCACAGAGGCAAAATGGAAAGCCCGTCCCTGCCTGTGGCTCAGAATCCCAACCACCTCGTTCATATGTGGTCTTCTCCCTGCACAATCCCCTTCTGGCGAGAGCTGAGAGGAAAGGAAGCCACATCACTAGCCTCTGTGGAGTTTCCCGAATGACATCCTCCCCTGCCAGCTGCCCACTGCCAACCCCACTCAATGCTGTGGAAAGGCAGGAAGATGAACACAAATGCAGGGGATCCCAGGAGGTCCCCATAACACCCAAGTGCTCTCCAAATTGAGAGCTAACTCTCTAGCAGATCTTAGCCACCACATCGGGGTGGTCTCCCCCAAAGGGCAGTCCCTCACACCCCTAGGCCCTTCCCGGCCTTCCCCTTGGCCCTGCCTGCCCTCTGCCATGCCCTGTTTGCTGTTCCTCCTCCAGGGCTGTGCCTGAAGGACCCTACCTTGGAAGGCGTTCTCAATCTCCTCGATGGTGGGCTTGGGCTGGTTCCGCAGCAGCGTGTACATGCTCATGACGATGCCGGGGGTGCAGAACCCGCACTGGGAGCCATGGCTTTTGGCGATTCTCTCCTGAAAGGGAGAGATAACAGAGACACCTGTGTCAGCAGAACTCCTCCCAGGATCCCAGCAGAACTCACCTGAAGCCAGCCCGTGTCGAGAGACAACAGAGGGTAGCGTTCACTGTGCAAGGTCAAGTTCCGGTGCTGCTGCTTATCAACTGTGCCCTCACCCAGGTCACCAAGCCCCTCTGAGCTGCAGAGTCCTCGTCTGTACTTACCCCTACAGTGTGGTGACAACTAACTGAGATCATTCACATAAAGCTCTTAACGTTGCACCTGCATAAAGCAGGCAGTCAGCCAATGCTAGCTACAAGTAGAAAGGTCCCTTCAAAGAATAGTGACATTAGAACCAGAGGGTGGCTTCTCCCCCTTCATTCCACTCATTCGACAGAGGAGGAAGCAGGCCCAGAGAACTGAAGAAATTTGCCCAAGGTCACACAGGGCGGAGGGGAGAGCTGTGTTGTGTTCCTTTAACTTCACTATCCTGCAATCCAGCTCAACCAGCATTTATGAAGCATCAGCTGAATCCATTTTATTCCAAAATAGAATACCACTGTCTTCCTGTATTCTTACATGAAGGCAACCCTGAAAGCTCAGGGAGGACATAAGAATTGGGAAATGTGTCAAATGGACTTTACTATATGCATTGAATGTCACAGAATTTTCATTCAAAGCTGGAAGATTTTTATAAGGAGATTCTCCTCCACATTTTTTTTTCTGTCTCTTAGGAATCTCTCTTGGTATTTATGTGAAGTAAAATCGCTAGAAAATTGTATCCCCAATGCCTAGCATATATAGTTGTCCCTTGGTATCGGGAAAGGACTAGTTCCAGCACTCCCTGCAGATACCTAAATCCCTCATATAAAATGGTGAAGTATTTGCATATAACCTGCCCAATCCACTCATATACTTTAAATTATCTCTAGATTACATGTAATACCTACTACAATGTTATGCTATGTAAATAGTTGTTATCCTGTATTGCTTAGGGAATGATGATAAGGAAAAAAGTCTGTATATGTTCAGTACAGACGCCTTTTTTTAAAAAAATACTTTCACTCTGCAATTGATTGAACCCATGGATACAGAATCCGCAGATACAGGGGATGGGCTGTATATTTATTCATTTTATAAATATTTCCCGAGAATCTACTGTGTGCCAGGTGTGGTAAAGGCCATGGGGATAGAGCAGTGACGAGGAGAGACGAGGTCTCTGATCCCATGGAGCCCACATTCGAGTTGGGGAAATATGAAAACAAACAAACAAGAGGACGCTAGGTGGAGGTCAGCACCATGTAGAGAATTTGTACAGGACGACGTGATCCAGAATGACCAGCAGCTACTTGGAATGGTCAGAAAAGGCTGTTCTGAAAAGCAGATTTGGAGCAGGAACGAGTGTATTCCAGGCAGAGGAGCAGCAGGTGCACAGGCTCCGAGGACAGACGAGCCTGGCGAGGGTTGCGGAAAGGCCGGGTGGGTGGAGTCAGCTGGGACTAGAAAAGTCAGCCAGCGGTGTGAGCAGCTGCCAGATCATATAGTGCTTCACAAGCCAGGGTAGGGACCTGGAATTCTACTCTGGGAGTGATGGGAAGCCGATGGGAAATGTTCAGTATGAAGTGATGTGATCTCACTTATGTTTTTAAATAATTACTCTGGCTGTTGGGTGGGAAATGGATTGTAGGGGACAAGAATGGGACAGGGGACCAGGACATTGTAGTGGGCCAGGCAAGAGGAGATGCTGGCTCACACTAGGTAGTAATAGTGCAAACTGAGAGAAAAAGAAGGTTCCATTGTATGTTTTGGAGGTAGAGTGGACACTACCTCTGGATGGACTGGGTGTGGCATATGAGAGAAAGAATCAAAGGTGACATCTAGATTTTCGTCTTGAGCAATTGGGTGGATGGTGTTGCCATTGATTCCGATGGAGGAAGATTGGGGAAGGAAGACGTTAGCAGCAAAGTAGGGTTTTGTTAAGTTTGAGGTCAGACATCCATGCTGTAATGTCAAGTTGGCTGTCAGAAATATAAGTCTAACTTCTAAGGAAAAGCCAGAGTTGAAGGTACAGATGTGAGTGCAATTTGCATGTAGACAGTATTAAATCCACCTAGGGAGAGGATGAGGGTGAGGAAGGGAAGGGCCCAGGTCAGATCCCAGGCCCTGTAACAATTAACATGGGGGTTGGAAGAAAAGTAGAAACGCATCGTGTCACAGAAACCAAGAGAACAAAAATAAATGAGAAGTGGCACCAGGCTCTACAGATTAATTGGAGCCAAAATAAGTGCATTAGGAACAAGATTCTATACCGCTGGATAGGAAGGGTGTAGACTAATTATACAGATACGATCCCTGCATTGAAACTATTCACTCTTTCTTTCATCTTTGTTTCAAAGAAAACAACAAGCCTTAATTAACCCTCTGACATCTCCTGCAGGTTGGACGAGTTTAGTATTGTCCCCTCCTCCTGCCTAAGAAACAAAGCTATGGAAGTGAAGCAGCACCACCCCCAGCTGGCTCTGACCTCACATCACTGGCCCGAGATGCTCTTCCTAGCACACTCAGTAGGAGGCTCCGAGTCCGTGATGTCATGAAAGGTGCCCTAGGAAGGCATGATCTCCTGAACGACATGTCTCCTAGTATTCTAGGAGTTGAGGGAGGACGAAGGCCTACCTCTGGCATCCTCTGTGGTTGCAATCTCCCGAAGAGCCCATTTCCGCAAACAAAATGTATTCGGCATGACGGCCTTCTTGCCTGCAGTGCTCCGCTCCCACTTGGCCCAAGAGCATCGTATTCCCTCCACAGAACCTCTCAGATTGCTATTGCCCACTCTCCCCAGAAGTGTTCCTGATTTCCGTCCATGCCAAGTGGTCTGCTACCATCAGGGAGAAAGCCTTGGTCAGGCACTCATAAATCTCTGTTGTCTTATTTAGCACTTGCTAACCTCCATTTTAGTGAGAGTGGAGGCCCAGCAGTCCGCATTTGTGTCGTTTGTGGGTGGGAGATAAGGGGTGCAACTGGAATTGCCATCCCAAGGGCAGGGAGTAGGTGGGCTTCTAAACAAGCGGCACGGAGAATTTAGAATCTGGAACCTGGGAAGGCTGGGGGTTTCCTAAACACACCCTGGAGCAAGGTGAGGCAACTCCCCTGCCCCTCCTCCTCCCAGTTCTGGTGCAGCTGGACTGCCCTGGCCACCAGATTCACTCGGGACCACGCAATGTTATATCTGCCCGGATCACAGGAGGGAGCTTTGGGCTTAGGTGCCTCCTCTTCTCACCTCACAGCACCTGGAGATGGGGAGGTGGCCAGGGCACAGTGCCTCCTTAGCTCAGGCAGTGAAATTCCACCCAACAACCCAAAGCAAGTCTGCGGCCCTGGCATGGGCCTCCCTGCAGAACGACTGGCCCAACCTCAAGAGCACAGCTCCCTGTCCTCTGGTTACCTGCACAGGATGCAGCCTCGTCTTGGTGCTTCCTATTCCTTCCACCGTCGTCACGGCAACATGATGCAAGGAGCAGATGGGGGCCAGACAGGCATTGGCAGAAAAGTGGCTAGAATCCCAGATTAAGGTCACTCCATTGTCTCAAGTCATCAGACAGACCTGAATGCAGGGCCTGGGGGACTTTGTGAGGTTTTATATTATGTCTCTTCACCCTAAATTATGTTCTTGTCTCTTCTACTGGTGCCCTCACTTCTCCACTCAAGACTCTGGCCAAGGGACAAAGGAAGCTCTTCCCCAGGTGAGGCTGAGCCCCTCCAGAGTCCTGTGGGGTCAGGCACCAGTGCACCCCCAGCCTCTGAACTGGAGCAAGGGAGCCGGGGTCACTTTCTACTGCCTCTTTCTCGGCCCGAGCCTGGAGGCTGAGTCAAGAGGAAGTTTCTGGCAGGTTGCAGCCTTGAAGCATGCTCCTGTCCCTGCGGGGGCCTTCCTTAGCCTCAGTGCCAGACCTCCAGTCATTTTGCACACTTGCCTTCACCCACCACCATTTCTCCAGACTGGGGAAGAGAGAGGAAATCCCCAGGGCAACCAGAGGCTGAGGGTGCACTGCTGCCCTTAGCCAGGGCTTCCTTGCATCCTCCTGTCCATCACTCACTCACTTACACAATGAGCACCAGTCATTGGGTGCCAACCATGCCAGGCACTCTGCTGAGGGCTGAGGAACTAAAAGCGAATAAGAAGACTCTCTGCCCTTCAACACTTTGCAGTCAACCTGGGAAAATAGAAGCTGGGGTGAAGTTGCAATTTAAATCTTGTTAAAGTCAATTAAAACAGAGACCAGGCCTGAAAAATCCATGAGTAGACAAAACCAGTTAGGCCTCATAAGTGACCTCAACTTGGCTTGATTTGCAAAAATAGGTGAAACTTGAGTTCTTTCTTGTAAATGTCGACATTAAAGAAAAACAGAACTTAAGCTCAACCGATCAGAAGTAGCCAAAAAACTCATCATTATGGAACTAGGGACTTTACGATGAGATAGACCAAGTATGGCAAGTGTATAACTGTACGCAATCACATATTTTCTTTGCTTTACTTCTGTGTCTTTCCTAGAAAAACCTACCCTGGTGTACCCTCAGTGGGGCTCCTGAACCACTTCTGGTTTGGAGCTATCTGATTCATGAATCATTGTTTGCTTAAATAAAGTCTTTCAAAAAATTATATTGTGTCTCAGTTTACCTTTTTGTCAGTCTCTTACAGTAAGTGCTTTGGGAAGGCTGTGCACAGGGCACCATGCGACCAGCACAGACCAAGAGCACCTAACACAATCTTGAAAGAACAAGGAAGGGTTCCTGGAAGAGGTGACATTTTAGCCCAGTCCTAAAGAGCTAATAAGAGTTATCCAGGTAGAGAAGTCCTAGAAGAAAGGACATTCAAGACTTGGGAAACAGCTTATGCAAAGACCAAGAAATGAGTGGGCATGGGGCATCAGTAGTTCACAATTGTCTCTGCTTGAGTGGAGTACTGGACCCATGATGAGAAAGAAAACTGGAGAGGAAAACTTGGCATATCGTGAAGGGCTTTGTCTGATAAGCGCAGAGAGTGGACTTTGTCTTGGGGGCAATGAAGAGCTGTTGAAAGATTTTATGATACAATATGAGCCTGGATTTTTAGATAGGTCATTTCATCAGCAGTTCAATATGCATAAGCCAGAAAGACACTTGCTAAGACATCAGTCTACAATTTTTCTATCCGTAATCAGATCCTGCCCCAAAACACAGGGGCTCCCACACCAGTGCACATGCATACACACCCAAATACTCATCTACTCGCTCACAAGCTGACCCTACATCATAGTCCTCACGTAGGCCATCAGCCAGTAGGCAAAGGATACACGATCTTGTTTTGGAGATGATCGTACTTGGAGAGCATCACCGTGCAAGCCCCGCAGCCTCCTTCTCCACAGCCAAGCTTGGTCCCACTCAGCCCCACTGGGTGGTCAGAGTTAAGGAGCACGAACTCAGGGTTGCTGGGAAATACCTGGGCAGAGCCATGTGGGTAAAACCATCCATTCCCACACAAGGCTCAGGACCCTCGACCCGGTGGGCAGCAGACCCACAGGCCTCCTCATTGAGAGGGGCTGCACTGCACCCCAGGGAGTCAGCAAAGGCATCAGAGTCCCATGGACAACATCGGAGTAGCATCCCCTAGGATGTGAGTTCTAGGGATCAGCAGTCCTGGAGACCTCTCTTGGTGTCAGGAACTTCCAGGCATGGTCTCACTGGGCAGGTAGACACAGACAATCACATGGGGCAGCCCTCACATCTTCCCGGCTAGGCGTGCAGTGAAGTCTGGGCCAGAATGAGACATTGAAGCGTTCTGGGACCTACTGAGTCCTGGCTTTTCACTCTGAACCTTTTGGGCTGATAAAATCCCAGGAACCAAAATTAGGACTGGGCAAGGGGCTTTTGAATATTTAGCCCATGAGATATGTGAATATTTTTTTTTTTGAGATCATTGACCAATATTGGGCCCAACTTTTCCATATACTTGCAGGAAGATAATCTGATACTTTGTGTTTTTAAAAGTGCCTAGCTAGTAGGCTATCCCAGAAAACAGCAATTGTAGTGGTCACTTTCTCAGAGACACACGGGCTCCACTGCCACTTTTCTCTCAGGCCTGCAGGCCTCTAAGCCATTTGCCATTTGCTGAAGATGGAGGGAACTGAGGCTGTTATTGCCTGGTCACTTCCACCATTTTCCAGACAAAATGATCTAGCCTCTTGTACTGGAAAAGCACGTATCCTCAGGTCACCTGTTTAATCTCCACAACAGTTTTGTTAGTAGATAGTGGAGGAACTACTATTTCCCCACAGATTAAAAGAACAAAAACAAACAGACCCAAGAGGTAACACGGGCCACACAGAATGACACAGGAGCTTGTGTTCTCTTGCCTGTGTGGACCCCGACGCAGCCATCAACTCCAGATTCGATGTGCTCCCCATCACCATGCTGCTCCTTTCTAAGCACATCTGGAGGGTGTGTCCTTTCTGCATCCTAAGTTCCTCTTTTCCCTAGTCAGGTTATATGCAGTCATCCGCAGCTCAGGCAACTCTGGGGCACATGACGTCAAAGGTGGCAGCTCAAAGTCTAGCGTGGTCTTCCTCTGGCCTGGGGACCTTTCTGAAAGCTAGGGTAGAAGTCAAGGCAGGGAATCTTCTCTCCTGCCTCAAACTCCCACAAGCTGACTGAGAGCACAGACAGCAATAAACTGCAAGGACTTCCTATTTTCATGCTGTCTTTTAGTTTTGAATTGCATTTGAGATTGATCTTTGAACCAGCCAGGTGCTACGATAAGGAATTTCTGAGGCTTCTGGGCCTTCAAAACTAAAATTGAAATGATTAGAAAACTAAAATTAGTTTTATTGTCAGGAAACTAAAGTTGATCTCAACAACCTCTGAGGATGAGCCTCTCTTCCCAGACCTCCTGGATAGATGGGCTGGACACGCAATTAACCGTGCAGCCCCTAATCCTGTCAGTGACTTCCTCACTGCAGAAAAGCCACCAGGTTCATCTGCTATGAACCTCCAAACCTGCCCATTTTAGGTCAAAAATCCAGAGCAAAGTACACCAAAGCCAACCACTGCAAACCAGAGTTAAAGCCAAGGATTCCACGCTCACATCTGTGGATGCTGAAATAATTATTTATTGTCCCCAAATACACCACTGGAAAGAGCCACGACACATCCCTTCTGGGAGCGAGAGGTGTTCATTGACAGAGGTCAAGGTAAGCACAGTCCTGATGACAGACCCCCAGAGAGTTTCCAATTTGGGTTAAAGGTTAAGAGCATGGCTCTAGGCTTTGGTGCGGGCTCTGCCACCATTTTCCCAGAACATGCTAGCGGAAGGCAGGTCACCTAGCATATCCAGGCTTCACTTCCTCCTCTGTCAGAAGGGAGTGTTCCATTTCCTTGGAACTGTTGAGGTGATTAAGTGAGGTGAGCTACAAAAATCACTTTCAACCCTGCCTGTATATAGTGAGTGCTCATTAAATGTTAGCCCTATTATTACTATTGTTGTTTTTGTTCCAAGGTCTCAGAACACTTTCATACTCAGAAAGAACAGAAGGTGCAGGGAATCTTACAGGAGGCCTCCCCACATCGAGTGAAGAGCACATCCCAAGTCTGCCGTGAGGGCTCCTGGTGTCTGTGTTTCCACAGAGGATGGTGCCTCGGGCATCCCTTTCCCAACAGACATTCCTTCCCTTGTTTCCCTTCACCTAGGCAGAGCTGGAAACATTCCCCAGGAAACATTTAGGTATTAATCAAATGTCGCCTAAGGAAGGGCTCCTCCTCCTTAAGGAGAATGACTATGAAGCTCACCAGGGCCTTTCTACAGGCCTACAGTTTAAACTAGAGTTTTAGCTGGGAGAGAACTTAAAGAACATCACGAACAATCCTCTCATTCGATAGCTGAGCATTTCAGATCTAGAGAGCTCAAATGACTACCTAAGGTCACACAGCTACTGCTTGACACAACTGTACCTAAAATTCAAGTATTCTGACTCCTAGTCCAGTGCTCTTTTCTCCACACTCCATGGCTACCCTATGGTCGCTAGGAAATGATGTAAGGCCCAGAGAATCAGTCCCCATTGCCCCTCTCCCTGACTCCCACTCCAAAGTCAGGATACACTTTCTTCTCAGGTAGGCCAAAAGGGTTGTCTCTGGATCTGCATTTTTCTCCACCACCTATAAAAAAAGAAAAGAAAAATATCTCATAGGAGTCCTTAGCCACCCTTCTGCAATTAATGTCTCCCTTCAATCTCTCACCCCAAAATTTGTACAGTTATATGCTTAATAGGTCATAAAACTAAGCTATTTTTCTTGGCAATTCCAAAAGAATGAACATATTAACTACAAGCCAGACTGTGTACATGCTCACATCCTTAAATTCTACCTTACTGCTCAGCTCTGGACCCCCACAGAATACTCAGGTGTTGCACCTGCCATGCTGGGCTGGCCAAGGCAAAGCCCTCTTCAAATCAAACATGTCATCATTCTACTACTGGATCACACCTGTGATTGCCAGGGACATCCGAGAGCATAGCAGGCAGATCTCTGGCTTTGCCTTCTGACATGGACACTCTCAGACTGTGACTGTAGAAAGTCCGTGGCCTGTTCACATTAGCAGAGTGTGGTGTGTGATGGGCTATCACAGCCAACAACGTTATCACATGTCAGAAATGGAGGAGCTATCTCTAAAACTCCATCAGTAGGTTCAATATGGCAGAAAGGGTGGTATAGCCTGGTGTGGTGGCTCACCCCTGTAATCCTAGCACTTTGAGAGGCCATGTCAAGGCTCAGGAGTTCAAGACTAGCCTGAGCAAGAGCAAAACCACATCTCTACAAAAAATAGAAAAATCAGCCAGGTGTGGTGGTGCGTGCCTGTAGTACTGGCTCGTCAGGAGGCTAAGGCAGGAGAATTGCTTGAACCCAGGAGTTTAAGGTTGCAGTGAGCTGTGATGACACCACTGCACTCTAGCCAGGGTGACAGAGTGAGACCCTGTCTCAAAAAAAGAGAAGAAAAGAGAGGAAAAGGTTGTCTACAAAGTGAGGTGCCAGTTCCCAATGTGAATTGTCAAAGGAAATCTATGAACCTCTTTCATTACTCCTCACAGATTATCAAGGCTAAAAGGGTGTGGGTTATTGGGATGATTAAGGGGAAAGAAATTTCGATAAAGGTTTCTTTAGAGGGAACCGTACTGTGGTTTCACACCTTCCTAAAGTGGAAGTGGGGGAGGGGTCTGCTCACACCTCAAACTTAGTGAGGGGGCTTCTTTGTGGGACACGTAGAGCTAACATGCCACCTTTGCTGTGTAGGGGATGTGGTGATCTGGCTTATCTAAACAGCTAAAGATAGGCTTAACCTGAAACTAATAGGCTGGGCACACAAGCTCACACTGTAATCCCAGTGCTTTGGGAGGCCAAGGCAGGAGGATCACTTGAGGCCAGGAGTTCGACACTGGCCCAGGCAACATAACAAGACTCCATCTCTACAAAAAAAAATTTTTTTTTAAAATTAGCCAGGCATGGTGGTATGGGCCTGTGGTGCTAGCTACTGGGAAGCTGAGGTGGGAAGATTTCTTGAGCCCAGGAATTGGAGGCTGTGGTGAGCTATGATCCTGCCTCTACACTCCAGCCTGGTGACAGAGCAAGACCCTGTCTCAAAAAAAAAAAAAAATTAATAACTAGTAATGATAGGTTTAAACTTAGGCTGAAGAAGTAGCTGTGTTGGGATTGGTGTGAACTCCCAGAGCTCAACAGAGCAAAGGATGTAGAAGTGTTGGCCATGGACCTACTGCAGGCCATTCATGAGATAGAGAGAGCTGGCTTGGAAGTGTGCAAATCTTTCCCAAAAAGACTACCTATAGGGGGTGATGGGGCCTCCAACAGAGAGTTTGTGTGGAGTGGACCTCCCAAAACTTGAGGCTGAAGGAGAGCAGCTGGCCTAAGAAAAGTGTCACTTGTGTCATGGGATGTGCAATTGAATGTTCCTGTCATGGCCCCTGAAGATCCTTGAAAGCCATCACAAGAGGAAGAAAAGGGTCAGCTCTGAACACCTGAAAGGCCCAGAAGGCCAGAGCCTGTCTTACAATAGTACCAGTTAAATGAGAGCTCTCTTGCTACTGTCACCACAGTGCCTGAATTGAGACTGTGTTTGGTAACTTAAAAATGACCACAGGATTTTTTTTATTGACTAAAGAATAATCAAAAAGTTGATGAAATTGCCAGAATTTTCCCTTTGAATAAAGTCTAAATGAAGGTCGGAGGTAAAATTAATTTTCTTATATGATCACACCCCATGAGTCCAGCTTGTTCAAAATTCTGGTTACAAATCATAGAAGAAATCATAAATGCACAAAATAATGATCCTACCACCTTTCATGTGGACAGCAGTAAGAGCCTCCTAGCTTACTAGCTTTCCCCCACATTGTTCCTTCCTCCTGTCCTGTGGTTCTGCTTTCATCACATCACGTCGGTTTCCTGATCAATACCTTCAATGACCTCCCACGTATTCAGGGTAACATCCAAGTTCCTTGGGCTGTCCTTCAAGGCCTTTTTCAATATGTTCCCAATCTTCATTTTCAGACTTTCTCCCTCCTACTTCTCTGCCAAGAGGGTCATCTTATTTCACGCAAAATATACCATATATCTTCCAACTCCTGTGCCTTTGACCATGCCATCTCTCTTCCACCTGCACCTTGACTTATCAGAAGACCCCAAACATTTCCCTAGTAAAGGCTTTCCATGTCACCCCGGCCACAAGCGGTCCACCCTCCCTTGAATTCCTGCAGAGAAGGGTCACACCATTCTGATGGTGTGGCCACGGTGTACTCCACGCACCACTCTCTCAACAGGATGCCCACGGGTATTCCAAGGGAAAAACACTTCATGAGGAAGTGCGTTTAGGAAATGTTGCATTAAGCAGATTACTCTGGTAAAAACCCAATCATCAAAAGAAATAATGGCCATAATAGTGTATAACCCATTATATAAAATCCATGAATCCAAACTGATAACTAACCAATGAGCAAACAAACAAATGGGAGATAAGAAAAAGCTTTTCCTGATGGAAGAATGCCAACTGAAGAATGTGGCTGGCCATCTCGTGATCAGCACAGTAATTGATCCCGTTAAGAATCCTCAGTGGATGCTCAAACTAGTGAGTGAAAGTTTGATGAACAAGATATCACGTAGTCTCAAGTATCTTCATACAGATTACATATTCATTATAAGGGTAAAAAGAGTTATCTTATAGTAAAGGAGGCTAGTGGATACTCACTTAGCCAAGTGATCAAAATTCACATCCTGTGCTTCCTGGATGCACTGAGAGAGACACATCACTTGTGATATTCCTGCCCAAAATGTAGACTCTGTATCTAATTATAAGAAAGCATGAGACAAACTCAAAAT